TGTGTGTGTGCACATGTGTGTGTGTGTGTTTTGTGTGTTTAACGGTTTATTGAAAGAATATGGCTGAAAATATACAGTTGCATAATTGGGGAATGGGTCTCTTGATTTACAAATAATATACAAGAAACAAATGCTGTACATAATGACTAAGTGGGGAGAAGGTCATTCTACAGGGCATTTCAAGATAGTGATAGTGCAAAAAAGTAAGATTGACTGGGAGTGAATACACTGGTTGATTACAAGTTATTGATTATTTTTTACAGTACAGGTTGACAATCCCTTCCCGAAATCCTTAGGGCTAGAGGCATTTCGGATTTTGGAATTTTTCGGTTTTCAGAATGGTTATTTTTGTGTGTGTGTGTGTAATTAGCCTACCCGGGCACAAGTCACTGACACACATTGAGGCCTGGGTGGCAAAAATATAATAAAAATTAAAATAATAATAACAATTCATAGGTCTAGGTCGTGTTTCTCACTTTTGATCTTTTTTTTCATTCTTGTGTTTCTTTATTATTATTATTATTATTATTATTATTATTATTTTATTATTACAGTATTATTGTTATTATTATTATTATTATTATTATTATTAATTTTATTATAATATTTTATTATTATTATTGTTATTATTATTATTATTATTATTATTATTATTATTATTAATTTTATTATATTTTATTATTATTATTATTATTATTATTATTATTATTATTATTATTATTATTATTATTATTATTATTATTATATTTTATTATTATTATTATTGTTATCATTATTATTTTATTTTGGTGTATTTTTTATTAAAATTTTTATTTACTATGAATAATTATTAGTGTATAATTATTATTGCTATTACATTTTTGCCCTCCCCCCCCCCTCCCCCAGGCCCCGATGTGGGCCAGTGATCTATGCCCGGGTGGGCTAATCCCTGTTAAAAAAAAAAAAAAAATTTTGCCCCCCTAAAAAAAAAACTTGATTTTTAGAGCTTTTCTGTTTTTGAAATTACGGATAAAGGGTTGCCAACCTGTAGCTGGGACTGGGATGTTCCTATAGCGATCAGTTCGTGCTCATATGGGCTGGATGCGGTTGTGGTGTCGAACAGCAATTCTCGGACGAGGGATCTCGGGTGCTAGTAGGAGCTGGTGTCAAGGATGGTGCAGAGCTTCTCACCAAATTTGCAGATGAGATCGTGGTGATGGTCAGTGTGTTGAGCGCTTCTTGATATGTGGAGTAGGAAGGGGAGAGAATTATCTTGCATGCCCTCTGTTGCACTTTTTCTAGGTGTTTACATTGTGTGGCATTTAGGGAGGAAGACCAGGTAGGGGAGGCATAGGTGAGCTTGGGAAGTATGAATGTTGAGTAAACACTGAGGATCTTGGGCGCAGGATCTCCGAGGGACTTGAGTCGGCGGAGGAGGTGGAGACGGAAATTGGAGGATTTGACAACTTCATTGATGTGTGGTTTCCAATTTAGTTTGTCATCTATGGTGATGTGTGTGTGTGTGTGTGTGTGTGTGTGTGTGTGTGTGTGTGTGTGTGTTTTACTCCTTCAACAATTCATAGGCAGCTTCATTACCCTCCTTCAGGTCTTGGACGAACGAGAGTACCACCTGCGACCAGCTGACCACCCTGGCTACCAGCTAAGTGTTGAACCTGTCTACCAGTTGAATACAGAAACAATGAACCAGCTGAGGGTTGAACCAGTTGACCAGCTGTGGAGACATGTCATTTGTACTACGAGGCAACATGAACAACACACCACTTTCATGTAGGTTGTGAGTACTGTTGATATTACTATCAAGTGACACAGTTTACCTTTACAGTGGTCCCTCGGTTAACAAACTCAATTCCTTCCAGAGGGTCGTTCGTTAACCGAAAATTTTGTTAACCGAAACCATTGTTTCAATGGGATATTGGGTAATTGGTTCCAGCTCACAGAAAATATATACAAAGTAGAGCCAAAAATGCATAAAGTCAGAAATACTCCTAAAATTCCCCTAAATTGCCCTTAAATCAATATACAGTCATGCGCCGGTTAACGTCCGATCACATATACGTCCGTGCCCCCCCCCCAAAAAAAAAAAAAATTCCGTGACGCCTGCTGGACCATCACTCCACGACCCCCTGACGGAGATACGATGATCCTCCCCATACTGGTCAGATATTATGTGTTAAAGGAATATGCTTCCTTCTTTAGGCTCTTTTTAAGCATTTGCCTACAGGTGAAATGTTAACCTACATCTATTGAGGATAAAATCTTTCACCTACAAATTGACAATAACACATTTGCTGTAATTGGGTTTGCAATTTCAAATTCTGTGGCATTACTAAGAATAACGAAGTCTCTGGTGCACTCTAAGATTAAGAGAGAAAACAGAGGACTCAGGCATCCTGATGTGAGAGAAAACGGACTCGTATGATGGGGGAGCAAATAAAAAAAGCATAGCTACATGTTTTGTGGACTACAGTATTAAGCGTACCCTTTTCATCACTTTGTAATAAACCTAGCCATGCCTATGTGTATTTATGATATTTACCATAGCATTATACAGTATATATATTTAGTGGGTTTAAATGGTTGTAAAATGGGAAACTTGGGGTTGGGTCTTGGGTGCCTGGAACCAATTACAATAAATCCCATAGGTTCTGTACTTTCGTTATCGGCGGGATCCCAATTAGGCGCGATAACCAAGGGATGACTGTACTGTACTGTATATACTTGTGACACTGGCCAGTTGCTTCTGGTGTTATGGTACAGGGGTACCAAGTGACAGCACTAGGACCCACTTCCTCTATCAAGGAATAAACAATTAAAATTTAAATTGAAAAAAAAAATCAAATAATGGGACCTAGTGAACCTAAATGGACCTAGAGCGGGCACAGTCACGTATGCATCGCGTATTCTTATAGATTGTGCTGCCAGGCGTACGTTATCTAGTGAATTTAGTCAATATTGTACAGTAACAATGGACCTAAGTGCAAACCTGTATTGTACATGTACTAAATGATTACCGTACTAAAATTGTTATGTCTATTGCAAATATAGCTTGTTTATACAGGTACAAGTATTCAAATAAATTACTATCTTACAAGAATACAAGCTATGTAAGTTATATTCACTCAGGTCGTTTGGGTGGCAAATTATGAGAAGAACTTAGTCACTCTTAACTAATGATAAATAAACACCCAGGCAGGCCTTCAGCGCCAACTGTCAAATCTTATCTCAAATAAATAAAGACACTCTGTCACCTCACCTCACGCTCGGCTGGCTACTTCCCTCCCTGTGTTCCCAGACAAAAGATTGGTGATTTCTTTATGTTTATTTTATATAATATCTCAGACTAAAGTTAGGATAATATTATTTGCATTGCTGAAATCCTTGCAAGACAGCCAATAATTTGAATATAAACGTCATATATTTTGTTCAAGAGATAAAAATTGTTGTACATTAGTGTACAGTACTGCAGTATATTTTATAAAAAAGTTTTTCAACTGTATTTTTGGGTAGATTTACATAGATTTCTTCATTTATTTTCATCCATTTACATGCACACACCATACTAAAAGAAACGTAATAGAAATAAATGACCTTAGTGCAAAGCTGGAGTGCACATGTACTAATTTGATTACGGTACTAAAATTGTTTTGTCTAGTGCAAATTATAGCATGTTTATATTCAAATTAATCAGTATGTTACAAGAATCCCAGCAATGTTAATTATATTCATCCAGGTCATTTCACTGGCTTTTTATAAGAGAGAAGCTTAGTCACTTAAGAACTGATAAATATACATGCGTTAGACCTGGGCCGGTGCCAACTGTCAAACGTACTACCTCCCCTCCCCCCATGCCCCCTCGCTCGCTCCCTCCTTCCCTCCCTCCCTCCCTCTCCCGCAACTGCCCGGCGTTGCTGGAATCCTTGTAAAACAGTGAATAATTTTAATATAAACGTCATGTATTTTGCACAAGATATAAAAATTAATCACCTGTATCACATTACAGTAGTGATTTAAGAGTAAAAGTGTACAGTGACCCCTCGTTTAACGAACGCCTCGGTTAACGAAATTTCGGTTAACGAACTGCCTTCAATTCGGTTAACGAACAAAAATTCGGTTAACAAATTTCTTACGAACCGACCTCAACATGTTTTCGCTTGCACTGACCGGGCAACCAGCTTTAGTATCAGTCCGCCAATACATTAATCGGTTCTAGGGCTTAAATTCCTTACTATTTTAGTAAATATCAAGAAGTTTATACTATTCAATAATTTTAAAAGTTTAACATTCAATTTTTTAGTCATTTTAACAATTATTGAACATAATTGAAGGTAAAGTGACTAGTTTAATGCGCGGCATCCAGCCTCTTAACACAGCAAACAGGCGTTAGTCTCTCTCTGTTTTCACTGGAGGTAACATCTTGCTTGAGACTCTCTTCAACTAAACGCTTTTTTTCTGTGTTTCCAAGCAAATTATTGGTCATTTTTAAATATATTTTACATATTGACAATATATAATGCAGTGCAGTGTTGATTTAAAGAAAATAATCTTGAATTACACCAAGAGAACTAAAATTTTATGGGTGAAATGGTGCCATGGGGTGACTTCTCTTCCACCCCAATGACTTCTCTTCTTCCTTCTCCACCCCCATTCTAATTCCCATCATCATCATCATCCAGGAGCCTTCTACATACACACCTCAAAGTAAGTGAACTTTTCTACCATTTTTGTTTAATTTAGGAAATTTTCGGTGAGCTGGAACCAATTACCCAAAAAACCCATTGAAACAATGGTTTCGGTTAACGAACTTTTCGGTTAACGAACGACCTTCTGGAACTGATTGAGTTCATTAAACAAGGGGTCACTGTATATGTACGTATATAGTATTCCACATACACGTAAGTATAAATACAAAGTTTCTGTGATGATCGGACAACGTCCATTTCGGTTAACGTCATGTTTCCAAGAATGCATCTAGGACGTTAACCGGCGCATGACTGCATATACAGTAAAACCCCGATTTATGCGGTTTTGCTTTACGCGATTCTACATTTACGTTCTACTTCACCAGAACCAGAATTTCATTTTACGCGGTGCATCTACTCATATACGCGGTCGCTCAGTCATCAAAACATTACCGAGTTCTTCACCTGCCACCCACCACAGCCGGCCCAATTCAGTGATAGTGAGGATATGGACTTATATGGACTTTGAGGGGTTTGACAAAGAGGCCCTGCAAGCCTTTGTGGTGGATAGTGATACAAGTGATACAGGTGAGGGCCAATAATCTGCCCTCTACCTCGGAACCAACCCCCCATCCCCGTCTGCCCAGCCATCTTTTCTACTAATGTAAGTGTTAAAAAACCTAATATTATTGATATTTCTCTTAATTATTAATTGTGTGTGCATACCATCATAAAATTAAGATGTTATTTTCACTACAACATAGGTATTGTGTCTGAAAAAGTGGAGTTTGGGGGTCGGGCCAGTCTCTATTGGAATTAATCCCATATGTTCTGTTATTCCATTTACGCGGTGTTCATTTTATGCAGTACCCCGAGGGTTCAATCGGGGCAAATCACTGTAGGTGCTGCGGATCTAGGTATATGCTGATAACCAAAGGAAAGAAGAAAACACGGTGCGTTGTTTAATTATCTTCAGGGGTGAGTACAGTCTGTACTCACCCCTGAAGATGTGAATTACAAGCTTTGGGAACTCGTGTTTCTTCCATGTGTTATCAGCATGTAAAGTACCCACTTAGCGGTCAATTGAACCCAGAGGGTCCGTGTTAAGTGAAAACCGCTATGAATAACAGAACATATGGGATTAATCCAATAGAACCCAGCCCGACCCCCAAACTCCACTTTTGACGACAAATATCTATGTTGTAGTAAAATAACATCTTAATTTATGATGGTACATGCACACAATTAATACTTAAGAGAAATAGAGAAATACAGTCACAAGTTAATGTCCATTCAAATAATGGACTCAACTCCCTCCCCTCTTCTCACACTACACTCACTGGCTCTTCCTCTGAGAAATTTTTGGGGAAAACCAGGTATAGTAATAAATAATTCCTCAAACTAAAGTTAGGATAATATAATTGACATTGCTGGATTCCTTGTAAGACCAGGAATATTTTGAATATAAATGTCATATATTTTTCACAAAGATAACATATTTACTCAGAATAAACTTTACATCTAAAATTTGTATGTCTAATGCAAAATCTATGATGTTTATATTCAAATGATCAGCAAATTGTAAGAATTCCAGCAATGTAAATTATATTCTGGCGGATAATTTGTATGAATTTTATGAGCTAAACAAATATCTTCAGTTAATAAAAAAAAAATATTCTTCGACACTATCTGTCAATCAAGTACCCCACCTTGCCTTTCCCCCTCTTCCAACGTGGTCAGTCAACCCTCCCCCACCCCCACCAATCCTCCATTCAAGAGTTTTTAACATTTAGTATTAAATAATACCTCAGATTAAAGTTAGGATAATATAATTGACATTGCTGGATTCCTTGAGACCAGGAATATTTTGAATATAAATGTCATATATTTTGGACAAAAGATAACATAATTACCTAGGAAAAATTTTTATCTAAAAATTGTATGTTTAATACAAAATATATGTTGTTTATATTCAAATGATCACCAAATTATAAAATTCCAGCAATGTAAATTATATTCTGACGAGTAATTTGTGAATTTTATGAGCTAAAACAAATATCTTCAGTTAATAAAAAAAAATAATTCTTC